GGGTGGTGACGGGTCGGGCCGCGGACTGAGGCTGAGAGCCCGGCTTTTGTAGGCTGCTGCCCACTCTGGAGCGGACGGTAGGCTGGACAGGAGACGGACGGGCTACAGGTTCGTTCCGGTACCCGAGGTGGAAGGCAGAGAGAGGCGTCTGTCCCAAGCCAGAGAGAGGAGAGAGGGGAGGGCGGTGCTGGGGCTCAGTGGTTCCATTCCTGGGACTTGACAGTAAAACTTCGCTCTTCTACAGGCTTGGAGTATGGCTTTGGGAAGGTAAGTGCAGAACGTGGGGAAAACATCGTACTGGATGTCCGTTTGTAGCAAAGGAATCGATCTCTCACCTCATTAGGCTCATTTTAACAAAAACATAAGAAATAAAATAAAATAAAAATCGGTCTTTGGATGTTTAGCTTCAAGTTTTCCCATTACGTGTCCTGGTCACTTGATACTTAAAATGCCTGGTGTTTCCATTTGAACGCGAGAAATGCCAGTATTGTTGACGTATACTAGTTATTAATGTATTTTACAAAAATACATCTGTTTTGCTCATGCTAAGGATAGCAACTTTAGGGGGAATGAAACGACTCACCACATGTTCTATAGTTCTATGCAGTTCAACATATTCATTCTCTTAGTTCTTACACCATTATAGGGTTAAGTATTAATACAGTCCACCTTTCACAGATGAGAGAATTCGGGAACAGAGAGATGAAATAACTTACCCAAGGTCATCCAGTGTTAATGTGTTAAAGCCCAGCTGGGCTCTGGCTGTGCTTTTACCCACTGTACCAAACATTTTCTATATTTGATCTATTGGCCACCTCTCCCTATAAAAATGAAACTCTTAACCTACTACCTGCTAAACATTCGGGCCAAATAATTTTCTAATTTTTAATGTTATGTCCCGTGGCAAATGCCTTTTGGTATCTACTTCTCTTGTTACAATCAACCAAGTTTCCCACAATAAATATGGATCAAAGTAGTGTTTAATAGCAAAGTTAAGATTTTCAGCAATTAGCATTTACCCACAATTTATTAAAAAGCAGATGAAATGAAGTATCCATGGTTGTATATATTTGTCTATATATATTTGTTTAAACTTAAATTAATAGACTATTCTTTGTTCAAGCATGACTATAATTTTACTCAGCACACCATTTTGTAGAATTTTTTAGCTAGTTTATTATCTTTGATTCAATTATCCTAGCAAGAATTTGGGCGATTTTAAAAGAATTATGAAATTCTCTTTTGACTCTGAGTGATTAAAAAGCTGGGCGTATTTTGAGGGCCTCAGTGTGTATCATGTCTTTTAGCCAATTTGGTGTACTTTGGACAAAACTCTATAGCAATGAAGGCTAAAACCAGAATTTCTCATTGGTTCTAACTGGAAAGACTTTTAACATTTCCACTTGTTTTAAACGAACCATGTTGTAAAGAAAAGTCTCAGATGGGTGAACTCCAACTTCACATATTTAGAGAATTACTCTTCATTTGAGCTTATCATAGAGTTTTCATATCTACTTTATCAGACAGATGTCTCTCTTAAGGCTTCATCTGTTATTTTTCCAAGTAAATTTAATTGCTTCTTCACACGAGTTCCAAATTTATTTTGACATGCATAGATTTTCTTTAATTCTTGTCTTTCAGTTTAATTAAATTCAATGTACATGATTTCAAACTCAAACTTTGAACATTATAAGTGAAAAAAAAACCTAAATTTTAGATGAATTATATGATCATCAAAATATGACTTATGGGGCTGGGGATTTAGCTCAGTGGTTCTGTAGCCTGCCTTGCAAGCGCAAGGACCCTAGTTTGAACCCTGGTACGGGGGAAAAGAAAAAAAACATGACCTTTGGACACAAGAATAATCATCCAGCTCTTCAGTGATTAACCCTGCTTTTCCCTACACATAGCCAAATTATGTTTGCTTGTTTGTTTGGTACTGGGGATCAAACTCAGGACCTTACACTTGCAAGGCAGGTGGTGGCAACACTGAGCTAAATCCCCGGTCCCATAGCCAAATTATGGCTACATCATTATTTGGGGGTGCTAGAATGCAGTCCTTTAGCCAGCATGATTGTGTCTCATCAAGAACAAGTTTTGTTTTGTTTTGTTTTGTTTTGTTTTTGGTACCGGGGATCAAACTTGGTCCTTGTGCTTGTGAGGAAGGCAGGAACCTTGAGCTAAATCCCCAGCAAGAACAAGTGTTTTTGGTGTTCAAATTGAATTTGAATTTTCCAAATCTGTCATTTGAAATGTTGTTTGTTATTAAGGCATAAATCTCCCTAGATATACATATCTCTTTCCTCAAACTCACAACTTCCAGTTTGCCCTTACTAATTTTAGACATGACATCCCCTTGCTACTGTTACCTCACTTGGGTCTTCTGACCTGACTTTCCTTTCAAGTCTTGCCCTCTGGCTTGAGGAGAATTGTATTTTCTCTGCCTCTGCAGCCCCTTTGTTCCAAGTGCTGGGTAGAAAACTAGGGGTAGAAAGATATGTGAACACTGAGCTCAAGGGACAGGATTTAGCAAGATAATTGTAAAAATGAATAACTGAGGTATATTTCCTGAATGCAACAAGAAATTCTACCAAGAATTTGTGTGGGAGACTCTGGATTACACATGGAGGTCAGAGCAGGATGCACAAAAAGTGAAAAGTTACATATTTGTGGAGGAACGTTGTGTGCTGAGTCCAGTTGCCTTCATAAATGGTTGCTTGTTAATTTGAGGAATTATTTTCTGAATCAAAGACATATGAATTCTGATTCTCTCTTTACTTCTCTGTTCACAAGAGACATATTTCTCCACATCATCCACCTGTGGATGGGGAGGTTTACAAAGCTCTTTTTAGTGCCTTTAAAAGCACACAGAGCCTGTTCTACCCATATCTGATTATTATCCTATTTGGGAAAAGGTATCTAAGTTTAATGAATAATAGCCATTTTCTGTTTTCTTTCTATGCATCAGCAACTACTTTCAAGCTTTGTTTTTTAAAGATAGTTCTGTGTAGTTTCATTGTGCCCTTTGGTTGTTGATAATGGTATGGTGTGTCAAATAGAGTTTTAATTGATTAATTACATTGTCCTTAAGATTCTCTGAAGTGCTCAAGGTAAGAAAGGAGAATCCAGACTAAACAAGATGAGGTTGTGTGCTAAATATGCTGAAGGAATAGCTATTAACTGGTTAAAAGAAATGGAAGAATGACTAAATTTATTGAACACTGCTATGTGCTATGCAGCATTATGTAGTCTTTATATGACAATTGATGTACAATTCACAATTGCCTGTGCCATCTGTGTGTACTGTCACTATTACCTTCTACTTTATAAAAGGGAAAACTGAAGCAGGACAAGGACAATAGCCATGGTCACTGTCACATAGTTAGAGCTGGGCTTACTAGGTCTATACTACTAATTGGCGATGTGTAATATCTGGTTCAAAAAATTTGTGGTGCATCAATTTTCCATCATTGTTTAAAATCATAATACCCCGACCTTGTTTTTAAAATTCTTTCTTAATAAATTTGAATGGAAAAGAAGAACTTCTTTTATATCAGAACATTTTGCCTCATATTTTATAGGCAAAAGATGTACAAAACAAGGAGATGTGAATGTCTGTACAAAGAGAGGTAGCTACATTGTGAGAAAAGCTCTGTTGTATATTATATATTTTTAAATTCAAACATGGTCCATACCATTTTAAACAAATGAAAGGTTTAAAAATCAACAGTTTCTACATTTATCATTTAATGATTAGGGAAATACCTTTAACAGATAGATTATGTGACCATTACTAAACTTAAGAATTTAAACTCACTTGTACCACCTTTCCCCAAGGTCTTGGTCCACAGCATGCAACAATGCTAAAGTATAATTTACTTCCTCAATTACCTTGGTAACATTTAAAAACACTGCTAATTTTTACACTGGGATCTTTTAACATGAATTTAAGTAACTACAATAAAATTATATAGAGAAAAATTAGGGGATTTTAAGTGTTTTTAAAATAATATTGTTAACCTATGTAACACGGTATATGTCTTTAACAAAGTGAAAGATGGATTGGTTAAGTATGGTATTGCATAAAAAGATGTCTACTGGGGTCTGGTGATAAATGTTAGTAAATGTCATTAAATCCCTGCCAATTATGGTTGATATGATTAGTAGTAATAACCATGAAATTCATACTTGGTATACAAATGTTTGCATCTCTTCTTTGAAGCTCTTGGAAATGCTCAAGGCATCCAGTATGTTTTCAGTGATTTACGTATCCTGATGAAAAATGTAGTGTATT